TTCCTGCTCCTCTGCCTGCTGTGTTCATCCAGCTCTACACCTTGTTATCCGGGTCTCTGGATTAACAGTCCGGCAATAATATCACTAGGCCATTGCCTAGTGTCATGTGTTAGATGATGCAAACCATGTTGTCTTTCTAAACTCCCCTTCTGTCACATGCACAATGACCCTGAATTGCTGACCAACTCCATACTGACAATTTTAATCATTATTTTCAGAAATATATACTGAGCACAGTGTCAAAGATATTTCCTCGATAAATGGACAACTTTAAAATTGAGACATGACAAAGACTTGCTTCCATCTTTCCAAAGTATATGATCAAATATCTTTATCAAAATTAGGAGACAATTAATTCTGTTATCAGACAACACATTGATCTTGAAGCCTGACATTGTAATACATATTTATTCACTACATAAAAACGTGAGAGATTTAATACCTAAGTAGTAAATGTTTGGTGCCACCCATCCTCCATAAGGCAACTCCTGTAAGTGATTAGAGGCTTCGTGATTGCCTCCTATGAAGATGGTAAGAACAGGGGCTTTCTTTTCTCCAGAGTAATATCTACATGTAACAATTCAACAAATACCATTTAACTTCACAAATAGCTCACTTTGAGACAAAACTTCAATGATAATTTACTGGTGTGTACTTCTCGTTAGGTATAAAAACTCTACATGGAAATTTTAAAAGGCATTTTATATTACAAACAGTAACAAATGCAAATGCTTAAATAGCAAGCATTTGAATGCAATAGCTTATATGTGAGAATCAATCTTATAAACAAAAATGAGTGCTTAATTTAGAAAAGGACAAAGTAACAAGGTGATACAAAAAAGAACAACCTTGAACACCTACTTACTTGTAGAAAGTTTGCATTTGTCTGTATTTAACGGGTACAGCCATGCAAATCATGTCAGCTTCATTCCTGACTGCTTGAAAATCTCCACAGCACAACAAGAGGTCCACCTTAACATTGTCCTTTTTCTCCAAAAACTGAATACTCTCATAGATTTTGTCCAGTTCACCATGGCAGCAACCTTCTACTGCTACCTTCATTGTAACAGTGTGCAATAGCTTGCACTACAAGTTCCAATGAGCTGGGTGTCTTTAGGAGCAATCTCCCTTCCTGGGCCCTATTTAAGCACGCTCATGTCTCAGTGTACTGACCCAATTAAACTATCATAGATTCTGAAATTAAAGAAAGGGCAATATTTATTAATTACTGAAGTTAAATTTACAGATACACACAAAACACAGCTTTTTATTTACTTGCAGGATGTTAAATAGTCAAGTAAGAGACTCAAAAAAGGAATGTACATATAAACTGAATTTTCAAAGACCATTTGACAATGGAATTGACAGTTAAAGTATGACTGCTTCAATTCAGGCAATGAAATACTTATAACTGTCAATGTTCTATTAGGCCTAGATTCTGAATCAAACTATTAAAACATTTTTTAAATTATCACTGTCACCTTAATAACTCACCAGAATGACAAAATAGCAAAACATGCCTATTCCTACAAACCTTAACAATATGATAAACAGTTTCTCCGATAATATTTTGTATGAAATAACAATCAGACATTAATGAATTACAGATACTAAAAACTTAATCCTATCAAACAAGAATACAATTCGTAGTTCTGTAAGTTTGGGGGTAAAAGTTTAAATTCTTATTCAGTTCACTATTTCAAAGCATGGCAATCTGAATAACACAAATTGCATCTGTAAATGGTAGCATTTAATTTAAAACTAACTCCAATTAGATGTATTTTAGGTTCAAGCCTGAGATGCTAAATCCAGGTCGCTAACAAAGCATATCAACATCTCTACTGAATTTATCAATCCCTACTTCATAGGCATACTTCTGAAAGGCAGTTATGTTTAAAACAGGATTATACTTTGTGTAGTTCATCACAAGCTGAACATGACTATCTGACAGACAATAAAGGTAAAGTCACCATAGTCCGACAGGACTATAGAGCTGCTCTCTGAGAGAGAGATACAACCAGTAGTGAGTTTGACCTGAGGGTAACCACACCGCAGCAAGGTTAAGAAGGGGGATCATTCACGGTGACCTCAGCTGGCACAGGAATTGAACTGTTGAACACTGTTGGCATCATCCCACATTGCAAAACAGCCATCCAGCCAACTGAGCTAACCAACTCCTGACAGCCAATAACAAGGAATCATCACAAGTAAGGGAATGTGTCTCACTCAGACAACCAACTCACAAACCTTAAACATTAGAGATAAAAAAGGTGCGAAGAGGATAAACTAGAACTATACCCAACAAGCTTTATAGGAACTCTGAGCAAAGATCTTACCATGTTGCCAAAAAACCCCACAAATTTAAATTGTTAATATTAAACATCAAGTGCAGTAGAACCCCCACTTTATCACTAAATCCTGCTATTTGAACATGGATGGATGAGTAATTTCTAACTTTTACTCCAAGTTATTTGTGACAAGGAACCTTATAATCTAGATGATTCATTTAATCTAATTTTTGAGTTATATTAAATCTGAATATAACTCAGATCAAATTCTAAAAATTGAGATACAGGCAAAAATAAAAAGGTGATCTTTACAATTGTTTTTAAAAAATGAGAAAATCTCATCTTTCTCCCATTAACAGCACTGTCAGAAGTTATTCATTGGGAAATATCTGCTGTCAAGTACTTTGCTGAAATAGCAATTCATCAGATACATCTCAGCTGGAAATGTAAGCAATTTGACAGAGTTGGGATTCACAATCCAGCCTAATCATTAATACTTGGCACTTATGCATGCAAACTTTCTGCAATCAAGATCAAGGACTCTAGCCAACTGTTTAACCTACAGGACCTTAAGCCAATGCAACAAATAACCTAGAGAGTTAAGCAAACAGTCTTCTTATATGTCCATCTCAGAGGTACACTGAATGAATCATCATCAGCTGAATTTAATAAAGGCTTTCAAGAGGGACTGGAAGTTAGAGAATTTGTTGGGTAAAAAAAGTCAGTGGCAGATGTAAAACGTTGTGAACCCTAGGCCTAATTCAATGGTCTAAGGTTACTGTTAGAGCAAACAGGGTGGAAGAATTTTCAGTGAATTTAAAATTTACCTTTCCTGACTTTCCAAACAAAAAGAAACAGAAAATGCAGCAGTTATCACAAAGCTTTTGATTCCTTTAAAACATTTGAAACAATTCAATTTATTGACCAGCATTATTTCACACAAAAACATATGGTCACTGGGATTCATCACCACCTCAATACATTACTAAAACAAGTGTCAATATCAACAGCAAACGCGTAATACAATTAAATAAAATACCATCACTCGTACATCCAGGCCAGCTACCCTGGGAAATCGCGTAAGATTTATGATCGGAACCATTGATTTACGACCAGAAGTCAATGAGACAGATAACAATACAAAACCGTTATGTGTGCATAATTATTCTCAGGCCTGCAAATATCAGGGAGCTATCAGGAGGTTTACAAGGAGAGCTCACTGAAATATATAGCGAGCCAGCGACTGATATCTTATTCGAAACCAAGCCCAGCAGTTTTTTTTATGATGCATTCTCCAGTCTTTGTGGAACCTTGGTCAGCTCTCCCTTCCAATAGATTACAGGCGTGGAAGTAGAGGTGAGCCATTTGACTGCTGGGGGATTTACTTTTGAGAAACAAAAACAGAAATTGTTGGAAAAGCTCAGGAGGTCTGAGGAAGAGTCACTGGAGCCGAAACGTTAACTCTTGACTTGCTGCCAGACCTGAGCTTTTCCAGCATTTTTCTGTTTTTGTCTCTGATGCTATTTCGCATCCCTTTTGAGGCTGGGCTCCACACATGGGCTTTATTCGTGTCCACTATCTATCTCCCCTCCCCCGCCCCCGGCAACCCCAGGCTGGATGGTGACGGGGAGGGAGTGAGAGAGGCCCTAGGCGACGGGAACTGAAAAGCCTGTTCCTCCCTCAGCCAGGCCTCGAGGGCGCCCATCAGGAGATACACTCCGACTCGAGCCAAATCCTTAGTCCGCCGCTTCCTACCTACCCTCCCTCTCCCTCCGGACAGACAGATAAATAGATGGATGGACGGATGGCGGGCGGACAAACGCTGTAAACTGCACTCGATAAGCCCCTACCGAACAACCGCCCGCTCGGTGCCAGCGCGCATGCGTCACCCGTGACCTACTCCTCCCCTACACAACACTCCATTAAAGTAAACTCAGCACCGGGAGCACAGCAACATTCAACACTTTCACTCAAAACGGGAAGAGAGACGGAGAAAAAAAGTCAGCAAAAAAAAAACTTCCCAAAATCGACCGGCGAAATATACATCCACGACAAGAAAACAAGCTTGTTAAATAATCTCAAACCCATCACTTACAGTTCATTCCGAATCTGCTGGCAATGGATAAGGTAAATGTAAATAGTTCGAAGCCTCACTTTCGAATAAGTTGTTGCTTGGGTAAATTAAAAAAAAACAACAAAAATCTATAAATAAAAGAGCTAGTGGCCGGGCAAGGCTGCAACGTCTGTCGTGTGAGGGCCTGGCAGGGTATAATTTTGTTGCGGCCTGGTAGAATGTACGGCCCTAGTCGTGCGGCTGCGCAATGCGGTGTTGCCGGGCCCGGACGGGAAGGGAAGGGGCGGGGCCGGGATCTGTTGGAGAGGGTGGGGCTGGCGGAAGTGCGTGGGGCTGGGATCTGCTGTGAGGGTGTGACAGGGAATCTGGTGGGAGGATTCGGGATCTTTTTGAAACGGGTGGAGCTGGGAATCTGGCGGGAGGGCCAGGAGCTGAAGGGAGGAGGTAGGCAGCGTGCGGGGCGAAGGCCGAGAGCTGAGAAGTAGGGGGCCAGGCGAGGGGGCGGGACAAGTGGGTGGGGCCGGGTGAAGGGGGCGGGACAAGTGGGTGGGGCCGGGCCGGGCGAAGGGTGCGGGCTGCGTGGGAACAGCCGAAAGGGGCGGGTTGTGGGCGGGGCCTAGCGAAGGGTGCAGGGCTAGGGCCGGGTCTGGGCGAGGGGGGGCGGGGCTTGGGCCGCTGTGCTGCTGCTGCGGAAGATGGCGTGTCTGCTGGAGGCCCCAATGCGGATGAGCGTGCTTTCGGTGAGTATGTGATCGTCCGCTCGCATCGACTCGGCCTTCTTCAGGCCTAGGTTGGGCTGTGATTTCTAAGTGGAGTGTCGACATGGTCTGGTGTGGGCGGTGGGCGGTGTTTCCATGCCCCTGCAGCTCCTGTGTTTTAATGTTAGACCTCCGGGAATAGTGCTGCAGGTTTGGGCCTGAGAGTTGCTGTAAAGCTGCCTCCTTTAAAATATAAATCGCTAGCTTCCATACATCCCTCTGACTGTTTAATATTCGATACGCAATTGTATAAAATTGGATGTATTTAATTACACATTGTGCCTTTGTTTTAAACTTTTTAAAAAAAATCTATTTGGGTTCAAAGAGGACATCTGTTTATTTATTCCGTATCCATATTTACACTTGCTGTTCGACACTGGCCATTGCCTTAAATCGCAGTTTCTTTAATTCAGAAATGAGCAACTGATAAGAGTAGGAATAGTCATGTGCGACCCAGAAGGAGGACGCCATTTGGCCCGTCCAGTTCATGCAGGCTATCTGGAACAATCCAGTCAGTTCTGTTCACCTGGTCCTGCAAGTTTATTTTACTTAAATGCCAATGAATTCCAGTTTGAAATCACTTATTGTCTCTGCATCCAACACTTCTAGGCAGCAAGAACCAACTCTTCACGACTCCTGCGTTAAAAAAGTCCTTCCTCACATCCCAGAAAAAAAGTTCTTTTAATTGTGTAAATGTATGCAAATGAATTGGGATGGATAGTGATTACTTTCTGCATCCTCTGCCACTTCTAAGTTCAAAGATCTTTATTAGCTGCCTGAAAATGCTTCACTGCCCAGAAATCTGCACATTACAGGCTGACTTAAATGTTGAAATTAAATTTATGTAGGAATAGAGCTATTTATTGAGAATCCAAGTAATAAGAATAAAAAAATGAAAATGATAATTGTGCATCAATGGTTGAAGTCTTGCCTCTGAATCGAGTGTTACATTGTTGGAAATGCTGAAGACAGTTTTGGAGTTTCCTCTGAGGTGGGACAAAAAGATCCAGTATACTTAAGGAAAAGAGTAGAGCACTTCTCCTTGATATCTAGACTAATATTTATCTGACCTGAATCAGGTTTTCTGTGACAAAGGCAATCTATTCCTCCTTGTTCTTCTCAACTGACCTACAGCCTTGAACACAATACAATACATCACATCACCTTCCAATGTCTTACCACTCTCCGTAGCTCAACAGGACTGCATTCACATGGTTTCAGAGAATCAGTTTTCTGTTGTCAGAGAATTACTATCATTGTCTTCTCTTCATTTTTCTGCACAGTCACCTCTGCTGTCCATCTTTCCCTCCTCCTCTCTTTTTCACCCCCCCCCCCAAGGAATTTATCTTTGATTCACTTTTAATTCTCATTTGCATGCTATCTCAACAGAAACATCCAAAACAATATCAGTTTACATATGTGTACACTGATAATACCGATCTCTTTGTCACCAGCATCTCTGTAAATTGTCAGACTGCATTTTCATATGTAGCACCAGATGAGGAGATGTCTTCTCCAATTAAATATTGGAGACAATGAAGTAATTGGCTGTCTTTGAGTGATGCTGTAAACTCTATTTCCTAACCACTGCCCTGTTTGTTTGAGGTTTAACTGTGCAACATTGTTGTATGTAGCCACAAAATGATCTGTCAAGCGCATAACTGTCATCATTAAGGCTGCAATTTCTGTTTACGTAACATCATCTAATGCTTCACTTTGGCTCCTGTACTGCTACTACTGTCATCCAAATGTTCATTGCCTTTATTTAAAATTCTTATCCTTGTTTTCAAACTCTTTAATGGCTTAACCTCCTATGTCTGTAATCCTCCCAGCCTCCCAGATATCTGTGCTTCACTAATTTTGGTCTGTAGCGCATCCCCAAGTTTATTTGCTTTGTATTTGTGGTTATGCCCATGCCCTCAGCAATTGAATTCATTATAGAGCCAGCACAGACACAACACCTTCTGTGCTGTGACCATTCTGTAGTTTTAAACCTCTCAACCTCTCTCTCTCTCTCTCTCTCTCGTTTTCCATCTTTTATGGCATTGCTTAAGATCCACCTCATCAACCAAGCCTTTGGTCGTCTGTCCAATGTCACCTTAAGACTATAAGATATAGGAGCAGAATTCAGCTATTTGACCCATGAGTTTGCTCCGCCTCTATCATGGCTGATGTGTGTCTCAACCCCATTCTCCTGCCTTCTCCACTTACTAGCCCTGTTAATCTAGAACCTATCTATCTCTGCCTTAAATAGGGGAGGTGTTGGTCTACTGGTGTTATCACTGCAGTATTAATCCAGAGCCCAGGTAATGTTCTGGACACCTGGGTTCAAATCCTACCACAGCAGATGGTGAAATTTGAATTCAATAAAAATCTGGAATTAAGAGTCTGTTATGACCGTGAAACTATTGCCGATTGTCAGAAAAACCCATCTGACTCATTAGTGTCCTTCAGGAGATAAACTGCCATCCTTACCTGGTCTGGCCTACATGTGACTCCAAACCCCCAGAAATGTGATTCATTCTTAACTGCCCTCTGAGCAATTAGGGATGGGCTAGGAATTGTCCTAGCCAATGATGCCTTCATCCTGTGCATGAATTTAAAACAAAAATACGCTCAAAGTCTTGGCTTCCACAGCCTTCTGTGGCAATGAGTTATCCCTATCACTGTTCTAAAGGGTTGTCCCTTCCCTTTGAGGCTGTGCCCTCGGGTCCTAGTCTCTCTTACTGAGGAAACATTTTCACCATGTCCACTCTATCCAGGGCTCTCAGTACTTTGTAAGTTTCAACAAGATCCCTCCTAATCTGACAAAACTCCGTTGAGTACAGATCCAGAGTCCTTGACTGCTCCTCGTATGACAAACCTTTCATCCCTGGGATCATTCTTGTGAAACTCCTGTGGACCTCCTCTAACGCCTCCGCATCCTTCCTCAGATAGAGGCCCAAAATTGCTCACAATATTCCAAATGCAGTCTGACCAGAACCTTATACAGCCTCAGCAGCATATCTCTGCTCTTATATTCTTGCCCTCTTGAAATGAATGTTAACATTGCATTTGCCTTCCTAACTGCCAGCTGAATTTGTGTGTTAATATTAAGAGAATCCTGAACTAGAACTTCTAAGTCCCTTTGTGCTGCAGATTTCTGAAGCCTTTCCCTGTTTAGAAAATAGTCTATGCCTTAATTCTTCCTACCAAAGTGCATAACCACACACTTTCCCACATTGTTTCCCGTCTGTCACTTTGGAGTCCACTCTCTTAACCTGTTCATGCCCTTTTGCAATCACCCCTCTTCCTCAGCACTACTATCCCTGCATCCACCTTTGTGTAATCTGCAAAAGCAACAGTGCCCTTAGTTCCTTTAATAAGACTGTTAATGTATAACGTGAATAGTTGTGGCCCAAACACTGATGTGGCTTGGTGTCTCATTTTTGTTTTATAAGACCTCTGTGAAGCTATTATACGTTTATAAGCCATTACTTATGGAACATTACTATTTGCAAATTGGCTGTCATGTTTCCACATTTCTCCAGTGACTACAGTTCTAAATCACACTATTGACTACAGAGAGCTGTGAGATATCCTGAGGCCTGAACAACATTATATAAATGAAAGTTTTTATTAAAATTGTAGTTAAACATAGTTGTGCTTCTGCAGTCTTTGAGGAGAATTAGTTGTTTCTAGTATTTGATTTATCGATTTATATTAAGTGACATTTTAGTATGATGATGGGCTGCCATTTAAATTGTTCATATCTGAGATTTTAGTGGAGGGATTTAAGTTTTTGTGAGCATTTTGGTATATGTCTGCAAAAATAAATCATACCACATAAACATGTAGCTTTTTGAGTTTTATCTTGTCATTTGTTTGCTGGCAAAATGCACTCATTGAAGTGATGTATTTGCATGCCGAGTAGTGTAAGATGAGAATTGCTCAATTGCAACCTGCTTTGGAGTCTTGTAGGCCCAAATTTCATAAACTCTTTGACCTAACTTCTTTTTCTGAAGCCTATCCTTGCCCACCCATATTGGGAACAAATTCAGCCTGGACTGTTATAAAC